ATTTCACAATATTACTTTCGGTGAAGCTATCTAATTGATGCTATTCTTAAATGGTTATTTTTAAAATTCTTTATTGACTGCTTCACTGTATTTGTCACCAGAATTCAGAATAATAGGTCATCTTGCTTTTAGATGTCTGTCCATCCTTTTGTAGTATTTGAGGATTTCAGCTGCCAGGTGAAATGTGAAGTGATAAACTGTGGTGGTAAAAGGACACTAGTGGAGCTATACTGGAGGAAAAACCTTGTGATTGCATTTCCAGAAACTTCAAATTGGGAAATGGTATATTTGTTGAAATTAAAGCTTTAATGATAATGGATCACCTTTGAGTAATGCTAGAGCTGTCAGGGCATCTTATTCTGACACCAAAAGTGTGACTTGAAAAAAAAACAAACCAAAAACTGCAAAAAGCCCCCACCAAAATAAAACCAAACCAAGTAGTATGAAGTACATGCAGTTTAAAAATCAAAAGTAGTCAAGTAGATTTCCAACTATTTTTAAAGTCGGAGCAGTTTTGATGAATATTTAAGTGAAATTTTGATGCTTCAGTATTGGTTCCCATTTGAAACTGAAAACGTGTGTAAGCAATTAAGGATTTGAAAAGAGTTGGCAAAGAACAGAAAACCTTTTGGGCACCAAATAAGAAAGAATTCTCCAGTACCTCTTCCTGACTCTAGTGTTGGGGATAACAGATCTAGAGGAGTAACAGTGAATGTCAAGCTGGATGCTTTCACTTCTAAGACACAAATGTGTAAGTGCATTGTTAGTGCCTTTGTAGTAAAATGGAAACTCACTATTCTCTTTGATCTCCCAGGATATTTTTATGGTGACTTGATGTTTTTGGTTTTTTTGGACTTTGATGGGGTTTTCTTTGTGGGTTTCTTGAAATTTTTTTTTTGTTCAGTGGGGTTGGATTTTTTTTTTTTTGATCCGAGGGCTGCTTTTCCAGATTTCCTGGAAAAACTGAAAAAAATTGAAACCTTTAAAATTCTTGCAGGAAAATGTTAGAACTTCAACTGAAAAAAACCAACCCCATACATTTTTTTAAATGACTCACTTGAAATGCTTAGTTTCTCTGGACCACTCCTTCCAGTTTGTGTCTTTTTCAAACAGAAAATGGAAGCATCTTTAACATACAGTGTCTAAAATGTTCCCTGTTTGTAGGATGATATTGCTTAAATATATTGTTGTCAATGTGTTTTTTATATATATATATATGTTCAGATTTAATCTTCAGGTTCTTTTAAACACCAAGGTGTTTATGCTAAAACACTTGCTTTTTAGAACTACTTTCTTAAAACTGAGCAAGTTGTTACAGTAGAAAAATGAGTTGATGCCATACTAGTCACCAAAGAAGAAAAGAGAATTCTCAAGTTTTACCAGTTTTGAATTCAGCGTTGGCTTTACTGTCGTAATTTTCCATTACCTTGATGCAAGAGAGTGACACAGTCTCCTTTGTGTGTTTTTAGGTGACGTCAAATATAAACTACATGAGAAGAAAGAAGTTAGGCTATGTCTTATTTATTACATTATATGTTTATTTTGTCTGTCCAGTATATTATCCTGCATTTAATTGGTGATCTTTTTGTGTATGTGTACTGATTCTCATTATGTTGAGCACATGCTAGAAGAACTGCATGTCATTGACTCCTTTTATTCTGGATTTTGATTGTGCTGGTTATTTGTTTGAGCAAATCTATAATATTCTAAAAATATAGTTGTGCTCCAAACTGTAATCTTCCTGAAGGTAATTTTACCTTATAAAAGGTGTGTAATATGGCGTTTATGGTCAGTGCATAATTTTATGTATAGAATTTGATAAAGTATTGGGTGTAGTACAAAGCATTGTTCTTGTGAGTTCAGAAACACACAGAAGAATGTTCCTCCCTTCCTGTGAAGAAACCAGCCAAAGAATATTGACAGTAAAAGGAAAATGTTGCTGTTACCCAAAATGCCATGGATTCTATTTATTTTGTTGTTGTCTTCAAGAGGGTTAAATTTATTTTTGTCATTGGTCAGACATCAATGGGACATCAGTTCAGTTCCTTAAGATGGCTTTTTGTCCACCTTTGGAAAACCTAATGTTAGAAGGACAGAAGGAAGGGGAAAAAAAGAACAGATCTTCCCCTTTCATCACGAGCATGGATTTATACTGAGTCTGGATCAGTTAGAGATAACTTTCTTCATAGCAGCCGTCATGGGGTTGTGTTTTTGATTTCTAGCTAAAACTGTTGATAACACAGGTTAATTCTGAGCAGCGTTTGCAGTATCAAAGCAAGAAGTTGGGAGGGGACGTGGCTGGGACAAGTGACCTGACCTGACTGCATGCCATAAAATATCATTCCATAAAATGTCATGCCATAAAATATCATTCTCAGCAATAATAAAAAAAACCTGAGGGGGCTGGGGTGGGATGGGGCTGTTGGTCTGGAAGGTAGCTATTGCTCAGAGACTGGCCCGACATACATAAAAAACATCAGTGAGTGCTTTTTTTTCCCCTTCTTCACTTATTAAACTTCCTTTATCCGGAGCCACGTATTTCCTTGCTTTTCCTGTTCTCTCCCATTTCTCTTGCCATGGGCAGGGAGTGGGTGGTGAACAAGCAAGGGGCTGTAAGGTATTCAGTTGCTGCCTTGGTGTTAACCCACCACAGAGTTCTTCAAACTCTCATTCTCTATGACACGCAGAAAAGACTCTATAATTCGAGAAGTTATAAAGTAGGTATGCTTTAATAAGCGCGCTGGTGCACGGGGGATATCTCCTCCAAAAAACGTGCACACCCGGCAAACGCAGTTACCCGAGTTAAATGCAGTAAAAGTTACATATTCATAAGACGCCTATACGTATTCATGAACTATGCTGAAAAGGCACTCAGTTCCGGTGGTCGGCAGCTCCTCTTCTTCACGCTTGCGCAGTGTCTCCTGGTGGTCGTGGGCAGGGGTCTTCAGGGATGAAGGCCGTAGGTCTTCCTCATAATGAACTCTTTTATCTTAGTCCCAAAACTGTCTGTTCCTGGCAATCCTGTAGGGCATCTTGTTCCCGGATTCCACAAGGGGCGTCGTCATCGGATGGTCCTTATCAGATACCCCTTCCCATCAGTGCCTTTGTTAATTGCCTTTATTCCTTCAGGGCTGGTGCTGGACGACGCCCCTTATCTTGTATATCTTAGGCATCTGAATAACTACCACCCAACGATCCCTTCAGGCCTACAACCTGACAGTGAAGAAAGTTTTCCTAATGTCCAATCTAAACCTTCCCTGGTGCTGCTTGAGGCTATTTCTTCTTGTCCTATATCTTGTACTTGGTAGTGTGGCAGTGGCAGCAGAAAGAAGTTGGGAGAAAGGCAGAAAAATGGTTTACTTTTAGTCAGGTGTGTGAATGAAGACAGCAGCTTAATATCCTGTCCTGGAGTGGTGGAGTACTGAACTACTTACACCAGTGGAAGAAACATCCTTTTGCATGTTAGATAAACTGTGAGTAACAGATTTATGACTATCTGTAGCTTCAGGAAGTGGTTTTAGGTTACTTTGGAATTCTGCTATCCAGTAAGGCAGTACGGACAAGTGAATGTCCCCCCTTTGTCCCAGTGCGTTCCTTTTCTCAGTCCGTCCCTTGTCCCAGCTTTTGTGTGAGCTTCTGATGCTTTGTGCCAGTGCAGGTACAGCCAAGGACTGCACTGGTACAGATTCAGCTGAAAGAATTTTTTTTCTGATGTTTTATCACAGTGTCACCAGCTGTCCGTGCAGAGAAGTTACAAGAGTGTCTGACTAAGGCTTTGGGGAACAGGGGAATGCTACTGTCCAGCTGTACTGCTCTTGATGGCAAACCATGATGGCTTGCCGTTTACATTAGCTCACATGTGTTGTAAAATTCTCCTTTTAGTCAGTCCTTCATTTTGTGCTGTGCGGTAGTGACTGGGATGATCTGAAGAAGGGTATTTGGTTTTGCATTTCTGGAGTGCATGTGGATACATCAGTCTGGCTTCCCGGAAGGACACGGTACTGTTCCGTGTTGCGTTTTCGGGAACAGCTACTAATTCTCTTCTGCACTGCTGTAATTACTAGGAATTTTAATGGTCTATTTGGGTGAGTATCGTAGCTAAGCGGTACTTCATTAACTGTTTTTCTTGCACCTTTTTTCTTGCTTTGGATGCAGAATGTGTAGAGCTGCAGTGCAAGAGCCTTGGTTTGTGCAGTAATCCCATCTGCTCTTCCCTCTGTTCCGATCTGCTCATGTTTCATCTAATACCACTGTGTCTTTCAGCCTGTTAAACAGGAGAGCAGAAGCTTAAAGGGAAAGTGATCCTCATGAATCTCATGCCTGAGTATTTTGTTGCTGTGGTAGGACGAGTCAGATTATTGGAAAAACATTTTAACAATACACGTTTCTGTTCAAAATAAAAGATTGTTCATGAATGTTACAGCCCTTAAAGTTTTAAGGGAGCACAACATGTTAGCATAGCAAAAAATGAACGAATAACTGCCATGCTTTCTCTTCTGTCCTGTCTCTTTACGAGCCTTGTCTTGGCTGTGATAATTAGTTAATGTGCTCACACAGCTTTTAGAGAGGCCATAGGGGAGAGAATGATTACTAGAGTAAATGTTTAGCATTTAATTAGTTGTAACTCAGGGTTCTGTTACAGGAAAATGGTAAAAGTTCAGCTAGACTTGAGTAATCCAGGTAAGAATCCTTATTTACTAGTTATTAAGCAGTGTAACTTTTCACAGTTACTACATTGAAATGTTATTTTCTTGAAAGGCAATAGATAGATCTTACCTTCAGACTTTAAAATACAAATTGTCAAGTATCTTTAATGAGCATTTCTGTGTTTGGTGATGAGTTCGTAGTAATTGACTTTATAGTAACCTTAAGCATCCTGAAGACTCTAGGACTACTATCAGTCAGAAAACATAAGCGTAGAGATTAGAGGTATTTAATGAATGCAGACTTTGAGCAGTAGTTGACTCAGTATAACTTTTGCTGTCATATTCTACTTGTAGGTAAAAAGAACATACTCTCATGGTACGTATAGAGCTGGCCCAATGAGACAGATCAGCCTGGTTGGAGCAGTTGATGAGGAGGTGGGGGATTATTTCCCTGAATTCCTTGATATGTTGGAAGAATCACCCTTCTTAAAAGTAAGGACAGAAGGGAATGGGTTGGGAGAAGGGGGACAATATGCTGTCTAGTACTATTGAAGTGACAGTATCTGATATTTGCTTAGCTGATTGAATGGTCTAATAAATGCTTTTGTGACAGATAAAGGCTGCTTTTGAAATGTTTTTAAACTAACTCGCTTTGAAATTGTGGCTTGTATTTCCCATTAGTGTACACTGCCATGGGGAACACTTTCTAGTTTAAAATTAGAGAGTCGAAAAGACAGTGATGACGGTCCCATTATGTGGGTACGTCCAGGAGAACAGATGATCCCTGTGGCTGACATGCCAAAGTCACCTTTCAAAAGGAAGAGGTATGTTGAATTATTTTGCTTGATAAATGTCTGGTTAGTATTCTTTCTCTACAGATTGATTTTTATCTCAAATCTTTTACTAGTTGATACTGTATTTTAGCATTAATTTCTACAAATCTTAATCTAAAATACACTTTTAAGTTGCTTTGTTTTGTAAGGATATGGTTACTTTTATTTTTTAAAAATTGTTTACTATCAGGCCAAGTAAGGTGCTGTTCCTTTCTGGAACTCTAGTGTGAATTTAAGGTGAAAACTGCAGACCTTAAGGGATAAGGGCTGCTTTCTTATCTGAAAAGTAACACTTCCTGCATTAAATTACATCTTTAAGCTTTGCTGTTGGATTGGGTATAAGTACCAGCTTAAGAGCAGGGATCTCCTCAGAACTTGAATATTATGTGTCATGAGAAATTATGTCTTTGGAGTTCTCTTGTTCAAAATTCAAACGTAAAATGGGAGCATGGAAGAAGTGGAAGCAGTCAGGTGCCACAGAAGTACGGCAACGCTGTCCAGCCGTGAAGGGGATGCAGTTAAAGCCAAAGACCATCTGGACTTGAATTTGGCAAGAGATGTGAAGGGCAACAAGGACTTGTACAGGCATATGGACAGTAAAAGAAAGATCAAGGAAAATGTAAGTCATTTCCTGCATGGGGCAAAGGTCCTGGATATGAGAGACATGCAAAAGGCCAAGATACTTGGTGCTGTCTTTGCCTTTGTCTTTACTGGTGAGATTTACCTTCAGGAGTGTCAGGTCTCAGAGACAGTAGGAATATCTGGGACTACTTGCCTTCGGTCAAGGAGAATGAGGTTAAAGAATGCATTAGATTTACAGATTAGACAGACACAAGCCCATGAGACCCAACTGGATGCACCCACAGGTGCTGTGAGAGCTCACTAATAGCATTGCAAGGCCACTTTTCATTTTCATTGAGAGGTCATGGCAGCTGATGAAGGTTCCTGAGGACTGAAGGAAAGCAGATGTTGCTCCAATCATTCAGAAGTGAACGAAGCAGGACCTGGGGAACTGAGGCCCGTTGGCTATCCTCATCCTGGGACGAGAGAAGGACACCATTTGAAGCAAAGGACACTGTTGGGAGTAGCTGGTATTGATTTGCAAAGGGGAAGTTGTCCCTTATCCACCTGATCATGTATTCAACAACAAAAGGACTGGTTTACAGGATGAGAGGAACACTGGATGAGGGGTGTTGTTTATCTTGAATTTAGCAAGGCTTTTCCCATGACACCTGTCTCCCATGACATCCTAATAGACAAGTTAACAAACGAAAATCAGATTGACGGACAGTGAAGTGGTTCAAGAATGGGTTTAACTGCTATGCTCGAAGGGTTTTGATCAACACAAAGTCCAGCTGGAAAACAATCGCTACTGGAGTAGCCCAGACATAGATTCTTTGCGCCAGTGCGTTTCAACATCTTCATTCGTGGTTGCCATCATGGGACAAAGCACACCCTCAGCAAGCTGTCTGCAGGTGATGCAAAACTGGAAGGAGTGATTGGCCTACCACGGGGTTGCATTGCCAGTGAGAGGGACCTTGAGAGGCTGTAAAAATGGGCCAACTCAGGGTACTTGTGAAGTTAAGTCGGGGGGTGCAAAGCCCTGCACCTGGGAGGAATAACCTCTTGCACCAGCACAGGCTGGAACCCAACTGGCTGGACAGCAGCTGGAGGGAGGAGAACTTGGGTTCCTGATGCATGACAGGTTGACCTTAAGGCATCACTGTGGACGTCTCAGTCAAAGATAGACATGGGCAAACTAGAGCAGATCTGATGGCATGAAGGTGGGCGAAGGGGAACTGAGATTTATCCTGGAGAAAAGCAGGCTCAGTGGGATGATAGCAACGTATATAAACCTCTGATAGGAGGTTGTGAGAAGAACAGTTTTCAGCCACGTTAAACACTGGATTACAAGAAGTTCAATTTAAAATAAGAAAATAAAAATTCATGGTTGAACATGGAGGGACATATTGCCCAGAGAGCTTATGGAACCTCCATCTTTGGAGCTGCTCAAAACTTGACTGGACATGGTCCTGAGGAACCTGCTCTAGTGGAGTGGGAGAAGTTGGACTACTCAGTCTCCAGATATCCCTTCCAACCTTTACTACATTATGCTTAGGAACAGCTCTTAGAAAAATGTGGCGCACACTGTGGGCTCCAGGTGGCCAAGAGAATTGTCTTGTGGCTCTGTTCCCACTGCAGTTTACTTCACTTCCTTAAACCCTGAAAAAATAGTCTTTTGCTGCTTCTCATTCCGAGTTCTACAACATGGAGCTAAATGCACAGACACAGCAGTTTGGTAGAAACGTGAACGCTGAAGAATGACTTCAGGGCCAATTGAAATGTGTATCTACTAGTCAGGAAGCAGCAAAGGTGGGCAGTTCTCGGCTGGGGGCTCGTCATGGTAGGGCAAAGTCTTGCAGCGCCTGAGGGAGGCAGGTGGGGCAGACCTGGGGTTGGAGACCAGACTCCGGTGTGTCAGGCCCCAGAGTGTGGTGATGGGGCAGGTCCAAGGTCAAGCCGGGGAGGATCAGGCCCAGTGATTGCCAGGCAGGTCCGTGGTAACAAACTGGGAAGCAGGTGTGTGGCCCAGCACACCTCTGCCGGAGGTGAGGACCCTGCTCCCATGGGACTGCTCAGGCCAGGACTGCTGTCCCAGGCCTGAGTTTAGATTGAGCTCCTGGACTCCTTGTCCAAGTTTGTGGGTGGAGACTGCAGGTGAGACTCACTCAGTGCCCTGACACCATTGTCTGTTGGTTTTTATTTTTACTTTTGTTTATTTGTTTGTGTTTTAAATTTTTTTTTGTTTCATAAACATTCTGATATTTTGTGTAGCTCATTACATTTTTAATTCATCCTAAGTGGTACTATTTTTCTCATTTGACTATGTTCTTCCTGAAGGGAGAAAAACAATCCTATTGGCTATGGTAGAAATTAAGAAAAATGTCTGTATCACTAATAATTGTTTTTCTTGAACAGAACTACCAATGAAATAAAAAACTTGCAGTACCTACCTCGAACTAGTGAACCCCGTGAAATGTTGTTTGAAGACCGGACACGAGCCCATGCGGATCACATAGGACAAGGCTTTGAACGACAGACTACGGCTGCTGTGGGAGTGTTGAAGGCTGTGCACTGTGGAGAGTGGTATGTACTGAGGTGCTTTAAAAATATTGACCTAAATTTTCATTTATAATTGGTAGAAGGAGCACAGAATAGGTTAATCTAGTATTAGAGATTTAATGAAGGCTTAGTAAATACTAGACTTTTTTTTTTTTTTACCTCTCTCTCTTGTGCACTAGATGTTTCTGCCCTCTGCTACATTGCACAGAGTTTTGCTGCGTAGTTGAAACTAGAAAGGTACCACCTTGCAATGACAGTTTAAGAGCTACAGTGGAGTTGCTGTAACTGAGTTAATGTTAAATGTAAAAACACTTCATTCTTTGTTTTAAATAGCGCATGTGGAGTGACCAGAGTTTCTGCCTCAGAGGTTCAAATGAAGACCTTTTAGCAGTTCTTTGTGTTGTCTGGAGATGAGAAGAATTTTTCTGCTTCTGTTTCAAAGTCATGGCTGTTACAAACCTGATTTATTTATAGTAGATCACCTAGACAAAAAGTGCTCTCAGAGGTTATGTGATACTCTTTGATGTCTGGCTTTGGAATTCCCATACGAGATTCAGGAAACGAATATATCTCATTTCAAGCTGTTTACATGTTTGTCAGATAAAAACCATATGGGCTTGTGGGCCCAGATCTAAGAAGCAACTTCCAGGATCTTCTGACTTTGCTTTGGGAGAATGACCTTAGCTTTGGAGGTTAACTTTGCATATGTAAACACCCAAGCCACTTTTTACTCTGTATGTCTGCCTAGAAATTTTAAGAGTGAATTCCTGTTGGATGAAATAATGCAAATTTGTGTTACAGTGGAGGAGTTCATTGAGATAGAAAGTGGAATAATTGATATTGGGGAAGAACTGGCCTGTTCAGATGTTACTCTGTTGGTATTTTGGGCTGACGGTAGCTGGAGCCTTAATCCTGCTGTTTGCTCTGATTGTGAGAAGCTGGAGTGGATTAAGACTGAGCAGTGGTAGCAGGGCAAGAGCTGAGATATTCTGTAGATCTGATTATTTTAAATTACACTTTGCACATATGACTCAAAGGTTTATCAAATAAAAAAAAAACAAAACAAAACCCCACTTCTCCAACTTGCGTGCATGTGGAAATTAACAAGTACTTAAATTTAAATGTTGTGAGAACTTCCCATTCTCATCCTGTGTCTTTATAACATGATCATCCTCCCTTGGAAATCGTTGCAAGTTCACTTATATTCTAAAAATGAGTATTCATGCTTTTCAGATCTAAACCATCATCATCTCTCCTACATTGGAACTTGTGGAAAAGGGTGTCTATTCAATTTCCGTTTAAACTCCTTTTAAACTAGAAAAAATGAATGGAATTAGTCAAAATAAAAATTGTGTAGATAAAGTGGCCTGAAAATAGGCAAAACCTCCAAGAAACTTGAAAATACCTCAGTCTGGGGAAGAAAGAAGTAACAGCATTTCGGTTCAGTGTAAGGACTGAAAATGTATCTTTTAATGCAGAATGAAAAAATTTGGGACTGACAACTGTAAAGAAGGAAAATAGATAGCACAGTCGACACAGTACAAATTATCTATTTCAAGCCCGATTTCACTTCAGTGATACTTTCTGCTTTCCCTTTCCACTTTTTTTGTATTATTTTGAAAAGTCGCTTCTTTGTACTTACATGGAGAGAACTGATCAGGGCCTGTGGTAGTGAAGCATCATTGATTAATGAAACACATTAAAATAATTCCAGGTATTAGCTTTACCCTAATTTGTGCATTGTGGGTAGATTTATTTTAAAGGAAAAAAACTGAAAAATCTGTTTTTTTTAAAAATATGAGTAGTTAGTTGAACCAGACTGAAAGCTGGAAATGTTCCAGGAGTGATGAAGGCACTATGGCAGTAAAAATGAACTTCTTTTAATGATGAAATACCATAGAGAAAATTCATGTTTTCTGTGAGAATAAAATACAGCAATTCCTAGACTTGCTGAACTGTATGTTAGTTTGTATAAAAATAAATTGGATGTGCAAAAAAACCTTTGTAATCAAGAAGTTGCTGCAGGTTTAAAGAAAGTGGGATTTATTTTTGGAGTTAGTAGGCATGAATGTTAATGTTGTGTAGGATAACTGCTGTCTCTCACAAGACAGGAACAGAACTGTTGAAAGGCAAAAGGCCTTTTTTGTGGGTAGAGGGCACTGTTGGAAGCAAAACTTAGTATTTGGAAAACAAAAAAAAAGTAGTTTTTGCATTCCTGAATATGACAGGCTCTTGATTTGAGAATTTTTGTAAAATTACTGGATTACGATTTTTTCTATTTCTGTGAATATTTACAAATTGTAGAAGAGCTCTGCTACTGGTAGCAAACATTTTAAAGACCAGACTGCATTGAAGTCTCATAAATGCTGGTGGTGTGATCATGCTAATTACTTAACATTATTTTTGTAGGTGATACCAAGTGTTTTTTAGAATTTAAATACCAGTGAAATTCTAAATTGTGGAAATATTAAAGACTTATATGAGGGAAATCTGGATGGGTTTTTACAGAGAGGGCAAAAGACACTTTGTGGCATTTTTATTGGCAAAATTAAATCCTTCAGTCCTGTGGTTCAGCAAGCACCTTCTAAGTTTGTGTTCCAGAGTGTGACATTGTTAGTGCTTCTCTGCATGATCATAGGAATGTTACCATTGCCAGGCGTTGGGTCAGAAACATTCACGGTAGAACCCGTAGTCCTGAATTGTTCAGTGTCGGAACAGGCTGCCCAGGGAAGCGGTGGAGGCACCATCCCCGGAGGTACTGAAAAGATAAGGCGCTGCGGTGCTTCTGGCGGTGGGCCTGGCACTGCTACCTTCACGGTTGGACTCTGATCTGGAAGGTCTTTTCCAGCCTCAACAGTTCTGTGATTCTGTGAATCTGTTTTGAGAAGTAACAGCAAAGATAATGCAGCCCTTTCGCAGAAGGAGGTTAAGGAAAAGAAATTATTGCCAAAAATAGTTCCAGCAGTGTGCTAATAGCAACTTGAGATGACTTCAGAAAAATCCATTTATAGTTCTGTTTGGATTTAATATGTTTTTGGACATCTAACTGAACTATTCTGCTACTATTTTGGGGAGACATGACACCTTCTGAACTTGAGGTTCTACAAAAATACAATCTCGAAGTTGACCTGAATATCAGATGTGCAAATGCAGCATCAAAAATTATCTGGCAGTAATTTTTCTCTGCTATATGTGCAAAACAAATGTCATGTTTTGTGATAGAACTGCAGCGCAGGGTTGGTAATACATGCTGTTGCACGTATATATAGGGACTGAGAAAAGGAAGAATTTAAAAATATATCTTTACTATACTTTGTCCAGTTTAATCTGTAGAACATAATATAGACGCTGTTGTGAAAATACTACTTTGAAGTTCTTCTAGTGTGCAGATATGCACTGTATTTATTTTAATTCTTAATTTACGAATATTGTTAGCTACAGATGCAGATAGAGTTTTTAAAAAAACCCCCACGTATCAGCATTATATAATGTAGATTAATGTAGCTAACTTTTTTTTTTTTTTTTGGTAATGCCACTGATCAGAGATGTTTCTGTAAGCTGTTTGCTTTCAGCGCTTAAATCCTTGTCAGGGGCATACAGACCAAAATATAGAGACACGTTTTAATCTTTGTAAAATTGAAAGTAAAATATGTGGTCTGAAAATTCTCCCTAAGGTACTTTACTCGTTGATCTGGGATTTTTTTTTTCCCCTGAAAATAGCCTCAGGCTGGTTATTTTTTTTGCTTTATTGAGGTCGTGACCTAAATAAAATAAACATATCTCTTCAGCTTAAAAAAACCAAGACACTGTACATCACTGCCTGCTTCTTAGAATGTTAATACCACTGTGTGTGTGTGGATGTGT